ATATATATATATATATATTTATATTTATATATATTTAATGTTACAAGGAGTATTTTAAGTGTTCCACATGAATATGTCATGCTTCCTTGGTCTCTGTGATGCACCTTCATTTTTCTTCAGTGGTGAACTGAGGATAGATTTGAGTAATCAATTTAATTAAATACTTATTTAATAAATAAAATAAAAATAGTTTATATAAAGGTTATAAACAATATGCTCGTAAGTTGTTGTAAACCCTTGGTATTAAGTTGAATTCATATACATTAAAAAAAGTAAAATTATATAGTTTAGTCATACTTATATGACAAGCCTAAATGAGCTCTTTAAAAGTTTTTCTAAACGTATTCTGGTATTCATACTGTGATAGTAGATAACAAGGAAGATATTAAAGAAGATTACAAGCGCTACCAATTTAGATTCTGGGAAGTGTGTGGTAATGGCAAAGTATATGGATCGTATATAGCATGGGTAAAGAGGCCTAGCCCATTATAGGATGGTTGGAATATCATGTTGTACATGGGATTCGAAGTGAAGGCCTTCATCCATACCTTGGCCTTTGGAGCTAAAGGTTGCTACACCAAAACTGCTATACAGACAAACCTGCTTTTTTTAAGAAGAAAATGAAAAAAAATAATTAAAAAATAGAACAAGTAGGGATAAAGTTGATAAGAGGCAAAAAAAAAAAAAAGTCAAACAAATTTATTCTTGTATTATAAATTAGAATACAAGAGTTAGTGAGACTTTTTAATTTTTAATATTTTTTCGAGTAGAGATTAATATTTATTTCTTACATTTGTAATTAGTTGAAAATTTTCTTTTTTAATTTGTTTTGGTATATAAACTAAGGTAGTTCTTTCAAGAGTATATAAACTAAGGTAGTTCTTTCAAGAGTATCAAGTGAATATTGAGTTAACTCACCTATCTTTGCTTAGCCTCCTCATTATATAATATTGGGTTATATCTTTAAATTCTATTAAATCATATTTATCTTTATTTTTAGCTTTATTATCTTATATTTTGGTATGACTATTTATTATTCTCATTATGTTTCATTGATATTCTTGATGATAAGTATATTGTTTCACATTTTCTTAGGTCGAATCCATAAGTTAGGTAGAACACAAATTTATCGTAAAGTGACCATTATTCAGTCGTCAACCCATAATTGATTAGTCTAATATAAATCGACAATGGCTAAATCGTTTTTAATCCTATCAAAATACAATAATACATTATTTTATAATTTCTTGGGCCAAATCCTCAAACTATGAAGAACATGAGTTCATCATGAATTAATCAATATTAAACAAATCAACCTATAAAATCAATCCATTATAGATTAACAAAGATTAAACTGACCATAGGCCTAATAAGATACACAGCCCTTCGACTTAAGTATTATGACACAAAAAAATAACCAAATAGTAACATGAATGAAAAATGATTAGATTGACTACAAACCTAGTAGGAAACACAATCCTTTTTAATAATTAGTCCAACATTATTTTTGAATAAAAATTCCAAATTAATTCAAACCCTAATAATTTATCTTTAACATTTTCATTAAAAAGTTAATTACCTATACACTATTAGTGTAAAATTTTTTTTACACTAACAACCAATTATATCTTTTAATTATGTTTACACTGTTAAAAGTAAATGTGTTTATATTAACATGACATAATTAAAAAATATAATTAGTTGTCGGTATAAAAATATTTTACACTGACAATGTATAAGTAATTAACTCTTCATTAAATACCTAAACCACAATTTGAAATTATATACTTTTGAATAAAAATTCAAAATTAATTCAAAACCTATTAATTCTCAATACTCTTTCAAAATTGACATAAAAAAAATATAACAATAATTTTTTTATATTAAATATTATCTAATATTAATTTTTGATTAAAACATTTTTAAAAAATTACAAAAACTAAAAAAAAAAATAAATTTTAAAAGATTTATCCTAAACTTTTTTCCTTATGCATTAGTAAAATTATTTATTTTAAATTTAAAGAACTAAAAATATATTTATATATACATATATATATATATATATATATATATATATATATATCTATATAACCAATGTTATTCAAACTAAATTTTAGAATTCTAAATTAATTTATTCAAATAAAATATTTAAAAATATAAAAAATAAGAATAAAATACTTTAGATGACAAATTTTAAAAATTTTCTTCTACACACACCATAAGAAAATAAAATAAAATTTAAATAAACTTTACATAACCTTCTCCCAGATTCATTCTTCTAATAATCTTTCAATTACTTCTGTATTCCTTCCTAAATTATCTCCCACCAAACACTCCATTAACTTTCTTTTCTTTTGGTGTCGATTGACTTTTCACCTCCAATCCGATGGAATGTGTTTAGGAAGATTTATAAAGCAAGCGAAAGATTTTTATTTTTTACATCTATTTTTCATACATAATATTGGCTTATAATATATACAGGTTATCAAGAATCCTGTCATTTTCATATACGAATGGGATTCTGATATGGCCTTTAGCACTTATCTTTAAAGCTTAACACTTTTATACCCGCATTTTAGCATCAAATGACATACAACGTGCAACGAATAAAATCCTACCTCCACACTGAAAAGCCTAAATCTAAAAGGTGCAGAAAAAACTGAATGAAAATTTGCTCAGAGCCGTTCAATTAATAATGAAAATTGATAAATAAATAAAATAAAATAAAATATTTAAAAAAAAAAAAAAAAAAGATATGTGCATTCTGATCAGAGAGAGCATACAAACTCATCGTGAAATCTCATATTTGCAGACGTATGTAATCAACTCATCATATCAGAATACATACAACAACAAAAAGGGGCAAATCATTTTATCAAAACCTGAAAATTCTTCAAAATAAATGTAAAATAAAATAAACAGTCTAGTGAAACAACAGAATGAAACGCGTTGTGATTCAGAAAGAAAACGGCATCAGATAATAAGCGGAGTTGAAGTCCACACAGTAAATTCGGTGTGTAGGATAAGATTTTTTCATCATTTGCCGAAACAGAGAACGAAGAATGTACAAGATGGATATGACAAAAAAGAAGCACACGAATTTAACTATAAAAAAAATAGTTAAACGGCGTAACTCGTGGCGCACACTATATATAGCTCAAAACCCTAATCAGAGACGGTGGTGTAATGAAGAAGACGCTGCTATGCTTCGTATTTATACCACTAAATGGTCAGAGAAGTTTTTATCATTTTTAGGTTCTCTAGAATGTTCGAAGCCCACAAGTGAAGTAACGTCTCGTAACTAGTTGGGCTTTAGGGCCTAATTGCATTTAGTCCGAATGACAATGTACCCAATCTAGTGCTCTTCAGTTGAATTGAACTTGAGTTTTGGCCCAAAAAATAGTTTTACCATTTTTCAATCTAATAATTGGCTCAACAATTGAGATTAGATATATAACAAGTACTAACAACAAAGAAGTGTGCACAATAGCAAAAAGCTACGAAGCAAAACAAAAATGAATACTAGAGTTTGAATGTTGACGAGCCAAAACTTGGGTGGTTCTCAATAAGCCTTCGAAATTATCTTTTGGATACCACAAAGATAGGGAAGTTGATGAGACCATCGATAAAGTGCCAATGTTCATTTTGGAGATAATTAATCCTGTTTTTGTTGCGAATCAATTTTGTTTATGGTTTCGACATAGTTGACCTCGAAGTATGACTTATTGAATTTAGTTTCTCATCTTAGTAACATAAAAATCTTAATTTTACTGGAAACAAACTAAACAAAATCATTGTTCTCATTTGGATTTGAACCATTTTATTTTCATTTGGTATATGGCGATGTTCACAGAGGTAAAAGTAAAACCAACTCAAGAATACGCTCCTATTTAAGTCGGTAAGAAATAACGAGTCATCTAGTTTTTACTTTTTACAATTCATAGCAGTCGAGGCCCAACATTTATGTAGACAGTATTTCATCGTATTAAATGCAACATTGAAAGTCACCATAGCGAATTTTCTTCCATTCTCTGTCGAATGATTGGCATCTTCATTTTTGTCTGAAGCAAAAATGACTGATTCTTTTATTCGTCTTGTGAAATAGTCATTTTTACTACTTGATTTATGTATTAGGCAACATCCCAGAGCAATATGTTCAGGTGCAAAATACCTATGTAACGGCTATCTCTGCCACTAGATCATCTAGCAACAAGCTCTCAACTTCCCTACCTATTCCATCAATGTCATCTCTTAAGTTCAACCACTGCAATTCGCTCACCAGCACCTTCCCCAATTCGGTATTCTTTGCTATTCCTTGGCTCCCCAGCATCCTGAACAAACAGTCTTGGAGCCCATTTATAATTAATTTCGAACAAACATTTGCGGTTGTAGTAGGGCTTACCCATGGCTGTGCACTCATGAATTGCTCGTATATATTGATAATTCCTGTATTTATACAATCAAAAAGCAATCTCCTTTCGGACCTTGGACAACTAGTCCAATCAGAGTACCTCTTTTCAAGTTCATCAAACACTGAAAGACTAAGAGGGCATTCCCGAGAATGCCAAACTTTCAAAAATGCATACGGCTCAGCTCTATCAATACCAGATTTGGACAAGACAGCAATCATGTAGGAAGTCTCCCAGCTATCTCCAGTCTTACGTAATCCATTGTCTTCTGAAATTCCAGTAGATGCTTCCCCTTCATCTTCATCACTTTGAATTAGCATGGGTCCTTCCACAAATTCTTCAGATTCCAGCTTCAGCAACTGGAGTTGCATTCGAAGCCCTGAATACAAGAAACGTGCATGAACCAAGGAATCATAAAAGGAAAAAAAATAATAACAAAAAATATATATAATAAAAAAGGTTAAAGCCTCAGAGACAAATATGTTCTGGAGGATGCCAATCAATCATTAATCATTTCTTCTGTTAAGCTCAACAAGGTAACTGACAAAAGCTTCACAACAAAACATGATTGCCAGTGTGACGAACAAATTCATTCATGTTGTTCATTGATCATTTCTAACTTATATGACATTTTAATTCACATCATGTATAATATGAAATAAGGCAATCATGATGTTAGATCAGATTCTCGCCCATGATCTATTATTTAATAGCAGCTACGTGTCCGAATGCATCAAGAATATCGATAAACCATCAAATCCAATTCTAATTCACTGAAATTATAAGTTCATTAGAAGTTACAAGGACGTCAATACCATCACATGAAAGAAAAAAAATGATCACATGAAAATCTTTTATTTATTTTTATAAAACATGCCATGCTAAATAACAAGTTCACTTAAACTAAAATGAAATTAGGATATGCAGGCAACTGCATTTGGTCTAAAGGTTATCCGTTGTATGAATCTAAATAGATAAAAAGATACTATTGTCAAGTACAAATGCAAATCACTAAGGCAAAACACAAAAAAATATTCAGTTAATTGTTCAATCTGTCATGGTACTGTGAATTAGTATGTACTAGTACTAATCTTATTTTCTTCTTCTTGATTACATTATAAATAAAATGTCTGTACTACTGAACAATCGTATTCAACTATTTCTGTCATTGGTATGGAAAATGTGAGCGAACACCTGGCAACTTGGATCAAGGAATTAAAAAGAAATAAATTAGGAACTATACAAAATATGGACAAAGGAGACTAAACACTGCATTATAGAGTGATCCAAATAAAGGTTTCATGCAGTTACCTTGTATGTCAGCACTCAGAGTTTCAAAACATTCTGAACAAGATGACAGATCATCAGTAAATGAAGGTTCTAGTACTGAGACTGGACTGGGTTGATCCGCATCTTTACAGAATGAGGATTCAAGTCCTGATATAGGTGTTTGCAAAGGGACAGAATTTTTACCGGAAGACCCATCTGATAACTCCTGAAATATTTCAACATGTCAAGTAAGAGGAATAAACATACTTAAGGGACTTGCAAAGTTTGTTTACCAGTTACAGGCTAGTTAATTGGACTTGCTGATACAAAAAAACCGTATCGTGCAAAGATTTATAGTTTCTAGGTAAATTTAAATGTATTAAAAACCTTTATACATTTCATTTAAGCATCAATAGTGTATGAAGAACAATGAAAATATACAAAAATATATATTTTATTCTATATAAATGGTGGATACAAGAACTAACATCAAAGAGATATGAAAGGAATTTTCCATATATACACACAATGAAAGATTAACCAAATTAGAAGGGTTTATACATTAATTTAAAATAGCAGGCACAAAAGCTGTTTATTGACTTCCACCAAATTATGAAGACATTTTATGTGATCCCATCCTGTTTTCAGCTATGTATACGCTCAGTTTCATGTTAATTACAACAAGAGGTTTTCAGTTAATGAGATTTTGATAAGAACCATTAGAGAAACACACTAAAAAAACTAGCTGTTGTAGTTGGAGAGCCCAATACCTTATAAATCCCACACTAGAACCCCATACTTTCAATTTGGGACTCAAGTCCCATTACTTGCAATTGGATCCTAACAGATTTGTCCAATTTTATTAATAATCTGTGACAAGTGAATTAGTTGGTTACTTGGTTTAATGTGATACACTATCAAATATCAACTTAAGATGAGCCAGATCATTGATTTCCTGTTTATGGTGAGTGGATCTGTTCAGTAAAATAAAGATGGTTATGGCATTTTTTATATGTAATAGGCATATAGTCAGAATACTAATGAAAATGCTAAAACCTTAACTAACTGCAATAAATTGTCTTTGTCCACATTCAACAACATTAGTATCATCTTTGAATAAAATAAAAGAACTAACGATCAGGAAGCACCTTAATAGAGGATTCATGGCTTTCCATATTTGATGAATGAGAACGCCAAGACTTCTTGTGACCAGATTTTGAGCTTCTGGTATTCATGCACTGTTTCTGATCAAGACATTTCACTACTTTTCTCCTTTCCCGTTTACAGGCCTCATTTGGCATCATAAATTGATCATCACAGAGAGCTTCATGGCGCAAAATTGTTCTGGGACTTCCAAAGGCCGTAGATGATGCAGGAAGAGACTTAGATCTTCGTAAACTTCCGATACATCCATCCTTCCAACCATCCCTACTGCTAATACCCAATGGTTCAACCCTCCCAGTAGATTTAACATTGCTAGCAAGTTTGTCACGTAAACCTTCCCCACAAGAGATACTGTGAAAATTAGCTGTTTTCATTTCCTTGTCAGGGAAAGCAAGCATTTCAACAAGTGTACCGCTCCTGGAGATGGAATGGCCCTGTTGAGAGTTGAGAGACATTTTCCACCTCTCCGATAATCTCTTCTTTGCCTCCCTATTCACAGATGATTCACCAAAATGGGAAGATGGGCTGAAAGTTTTACTCATGTCAAATGACTTTCCTAAAGTTGTAGGTGTTACCTCTGATTCCTCAGGAGATTCATTCCCAGAAAAACGACATGAGCTATCATCCCAAGTATATCCTCTAAATCTAGAAGATGAAAATATCATGGAGCCATTATTCAAACTATTTTTCATTTGGCTCGTGATTTCCTTTGCAATTTCTCTTGATTCCGATGAATTTTGCCTTGAATGCCAAGTATTATCAGGAAATTTTTTCCTCTGATTCAGTTCAGTGCCCCTATATTTGATATCTGAAAATTCAGCATGTTGTCCACACTCAGATAGGACAGTATTTGAAGAACAAATTGATGAACCAATTTTGGTAGCATTCTGCACTTTTCCAAGATTAGGTTTCAGGACAACAATCCTTGTTGGGACTGCATGGGGCGCATTTCTTCCCTTAAAGGGAAACTTTGATGATTTTGGGGAACTATGTGTAACATGTCTTCTGGCAAAATGACATGAATAATCATCATAATGCTTCTGATGAGATCTGTTGTAATTCAACCCTTTCATCGCCATATCAGATGATTTTGTACCTTCAATGTGACGAAAATGTGATTGGGGAGGAGCAGCATGCAGATCATCTAGGTACCTTTTAAACAAAGAATCCGGCCGCTTAAAGTATTCTTGCAGAAGATCACTGTTAGAGTCTAGAATCTCAAGTGTATCATGGGAATCCTGAGAAGACTGTAAATCCTGATAAGTTGCACAGCGCTTGGCATCCACGAATTTCTGTTCTATAAACGACATTTCAGCATCCGTGATCTTCAACTCTACAGACCCTTGCGATGAACGCCGACAACTCTGTACCTTTTGGATATCTGAGATCCCAAACACATCCTTAAACTGTTGCTGATGCTTTGAGCTTCTCCTAGATGATTGACCGCCATACAATGTACCACTGCTTCGTGTTTTCGCGGTCCCTGTTGTCCCTTTTAGATTGTTTAGTGACACAGCCTTATGATGCTTATTAGCAGGCCCATCAAGACCCATTAATCTGCCTATGACACCGGGAGCTCTTCTTTTGCGTTCAGTTTCCCGGGACAGTTCTTCAGCTAATAACTTCTTCACGGGAGTTCCAAACGATTGTTTTGAAGATCTCCACCCCAGTTGAAATGAGTTCTGCAAAAATCAGTGCATTTATTCATGACCGTCAGTTTCCCTGTTTCTTCTTTATTAGATAACGGACTACCACACATGTGTATAACGTATACGTAATGCAATGTAATTCGTGAATATAATTTCAGTCTATGATTCATAAATGCAGCAAAGTAAACCGTGGCCAAGTGCATACATAGACGGAAGCAGAAAAGAGAAAAGAATAAAATAAAAGCTCACTGAATCTTCATGTGCAACTCGATCACCGCAAGAACTAGAATCAGAAGTAAAACTCCGAAGTTTTCTATGTCTATAAACCTGCTTGCTCGCTGAATAGAATTCAAAGACAAGGGTGGAAGATTCAAGAGCGGGTATAAGTGTGGGTTTAATTACTAAAATTGTTTAGAATTAGTAGTAGTTGAAAAAGAATGAGAAGAAGAACCTCGTGCTAAATTACGCATGATCAAAGGCGAAGCAGCGTAAATCACACGACATCATAACCAAAGAAATTCATGATGGAACTAGAAACAACATTATTATACGTATAGCACTAAGCAAAAGCTAGAAAGCAGTTCAAAAGCAGTTCAAAACCCTAAACAACATTATTATACGTATACTGGGAAGGATTTGATCCACCACCTTGAGGTCTTTGCATTTGAAAACACAAAATTGCAGCTGAGGTGAATGTGATTCCTAAGCGCAATGTATGATAGTGATGAAAGAATAACGGGAAGTGAGAATATGGGGAAAGGTTCAAAGCAGAATCCACGAAACCCTAGGATGCATCGCTGAGAAAACCAAAATTAGAACAACAAAAAAATGAAGGCACGTTGCAATGTGATGGTATGGTATGGTGCTACTGATACAACTTCACACCGGAGTGTGATACTCCATTCCGTCCATCATATGTGACACGTGGCAACACCACGTCGTACCACGTTGGTAACGAAAGAGAGTGGACAATTGATTTGACGGTATTTGTTATACTTCCTCTGCTCGGGAAATTTTGAGTGTTCCACTCGTTGGATACAGAGATAAAACACAAAAATAGCAAGAGGTGTAACAAATGTGTCTCTATTTTGTTTACATTTAATTCTCAGGTATTATTATATTTCCATAATTCAATGATAAAATCTTTATATCAAAAATAAAAATATTTAAAAATTTAATTACGGAAATAAAGATTTTACTTTTTTTATGGCGTGCTTAAAATTGGTTGAAAATTGCTTGTTAATGTATTCTTCTTGCTTTTGGGTACATGTTACTGCATTCATGTACTTAGATAGTTTAAGAAATGATATGTTGAACATGAAATGTACTACAATCACACTCCGCATTAACTTGTAGTGCAACAGATATTGATTCACGTATTTAACTATTTAAATATGCTATATGAATGTTTGAGGTTGAAACCTCCGTTCCTATTTATAAGGCATCAGAATAATCGCTTGATTTTTTATATAAAATTCAATTTATACTGTTTTATATATTGATTACTTTATATTAACATATCCCTAATTAAAATGTATTATCTTAATTTGATAAAACATATTAATTATAAACTCTTTAAAGATGATGCATTTTAATTGATTAAAAGAAAGATGAATATTAATTAAAAGAGATAAAATAATATAATACATGTATATTAATTGATTATAGTTTTAGAAAAAAAAATGTATAAATAAGACAAAATTATTATTATAAGTTAAATTAACTATTTTTTTAATTTTGGTGAATTAATTAATTATATCTTATATATAAAAGAGGATGTAGCATTTTTTTTCTCCTAAGTGGTTGTCCATTAAGATTTAGTTTTTTAAAAAAGAATTAGAATAAATATTGTGACCCTAAAATATAGATTAAAAAATTGTTAAATTTGACAACTTTGCCTAGCACTCCAAAACCCGATCAATTTGTTTCCATGCTGCGAAAGTTATGTCTTAGTATGTTGTTACCCTTAATTATTTACTTGTAAATGTCTTAGCTATGCAAATGTTCTTTAGAATATAGCTTTTTTCATTTTCTTTTTTCACTTTCAAGCTTGTAAATTTTGCACCGAAAAAAAAGTGTAGCAGCCATAATTTGATTTTATTAGTGCTGTGCAGGTGTCACATTAAATTTTCTTACTTTCTATTTCAACTTGAAATTAAATTATAAAATAAAAATAAAAACCGAAAAAGGTACGCTCTTACACAACCTCGACCATATTGAACAGTTGATAGCCCCACAGGTACTATATTATGATGAGGTGCTTACAAAGCAAACCATAATACTTGTAAAATTTAGTAAGACAGACAAACCATTTTACTGGACCATAGGGCAACTCATAAGAGACATTGCCTCGGTCAAAGACAAGTCATAATTGTACTCATCAGTATACATAAATTGCTAAATTTAGAGATAAAGCTTATGTGCACGAATCTATGGCTTACAAGTGTTATTGACCTTAATAGTTTCACACTACTGTCTAGTGTCTATATGTGTGTATTGTGTAATGTTGGAAGAACAAAAAACTACTCGGAGATAGGAAACTTTAGATGTACTAATCGAAGATATTAGAATTGTACTCAGTCAAGTCAAAAAGGCAAACGAGTTCGACAAAAATTGCATGACCCTAAACATTTATTCTTTAACTTTTCCTCTTCAATGTTTATAAGAGTGATTGCGGAGTTGCTAAAATATTTTGATCACACATCACCTTTTATATTGGGGGAAAAACATTTATGTAATTTTTTATAATAAATTAAGTTTTTGAGATAATTAAATAATCAATAATTTATTATTAGTCGCAATATGAGGACATAGTAACTCATTATTTTGATGAATAATTTCTTCGAACAGAAGAAGATTATGTAAACAATTACTTAGAATCTCACTTATCAAATTTCATATCTCACTTATCATATTTCACTGTGTCTTCCACATTGAAATCTGACAAAGTTGCCATAATATATCTAACTCATGCATAATATCATAAAAATGGATACAAATTTTTAGCTGCTACTTAGTATCAGCAATAGGTCTGAAAAAATATTTAAAAATATGAAATTTAAATATTTGACAACATATTACCCTTTTATTGACTATACAATTTATTAATAAGAATTGTAATTTCACTTCAACATTAAATGTAATAAATAGTTTTTCAATGTCAACATTATCTTGATATACCTACTTGGTCATGACACCAATAGTACTGCAATTAAACTTGCTCATGAGAAACCAAAGACTCGTACACATTTGAGCTGGCTCAATTAGGAGGGACACCATAGAGCCCTGATAACCATCTTAAATACGCTCCTTAAAACATAAATTCAAGAGCCGTAGAAGTATGGTGCTACCTATAGAAACAAAGTTTAGTTGATCCATACGGATTTAATTCCATATGCCTAAACTCACTGTAGAAAGTACCTCTAGCCCCCATTCCATATTCTATCTCTATGGGAAGTGTGCCGGGCTTGAATCCATTTTCATGGGCAACTTTATCTCTTGTCACATAATTTTATCCATTACTTTTATATGAAGTCACTACGACTTTGCCATTTATCTACCCAGCATTGCCAGCTGTTCATAGAAACCTTCTAGGGAGGGTAGGAGGTTTAGGTGCTTCAAATTCAAATTATTGCAGATGCAATAAAAAAAGGTATTTGCGTAAAACCTTTTCCAAGTTAAATTATATAAAGTGTTAATTATTAATGAAATAATTAAACATCGGACCAATAAGTTGGCCAAACCTACAACTCAAGTCAGGTCAAGATGGGCCAAAATCCTTTTAGACTTAGGGATGACAGAGTATGTTGAGCCCGAAAAGCCGGCCCCGCGGGGCAGGATAGAAGGTCCAATCTGCCAACCTGACAGAGTGATTTGGCCCATCAAACCTCATTTTTTTATATACAGATGTGTAATTTATTTTAAACTTAAATACTACATATTAATATATATATATATATATGATTGTTACATGTCTAAACTAATCTCAACATTAGGAAGAAAACATTTTAGCTAAGGCCACAATATATTCCATATATATATATAAAATGATTGTTACATGTCTAAATTAATCTCAACATTAGTAAGAAAACATTTTAGTTAAGGCCACAATATCTTCCACCAGAGGTAATCTTGTTCATTTTTGACAGGCTAGTCCACCAACCTACTCTTAAGCAAGATGGAACGTGATTATCACCCACCATCACCAGGTGGGCCACCACAGTCCACCCCATCACATTTTTTGCGGGCTGGTATCACGCTGGGCAAAGATGGGACAGGCCAGCCCATTTTACCACCCCTATTGAGGCTTAAATTTTCCCAAAGTAAACCACAAGTTTGGACACATTATTCGGACTACCTGGGCCTGACCCATCAAATTATACCCACTTTAACAGGCATAATAATAAATATAAACTAGGGCAAAAGATCCCAGGTATAGGCACAAACAGAAACACGCCAATTAAGAAAATAAATGCAGTAGTCTAGATCTACAGACTCATGCAAAATTAGAAGCCTTACATGCAAATAACGTCCAGTTAAAACAGGTCTAAAGTCACAAGTTCCAAGAAAGTTGAGAGATCATTTTATACTTTCATGGTAGCTGTGAAACTATCACAACACCCTATTACACTAACATATAATACATGCAAATATCTAAAGGCTAACCACGTAATTATTCACTTCCCTTGTGTTTGGTAAAGAAGAAAGAAATAGATGAAAAATAAAATGGAGAGAAATAAAAAGTGAAGAGGAATAAATAAGAAATGAAATAAAAATTTGATTATTTGGTTAAAGAAAAATAGGTAAAAAATGTGTAAGAAATAAGGTATATATAAAAGAGAGGAGAGAGAAATAAATAAGTAAAAATAAACAAGAAGGTAGGATCCCCACCTTTTAATTTATCTCCACTCTATTTGTTTTTAACCAAACATCCTATTTTATTTTCACTCTCTTTATCCTATTTCTTACCCATTTATTCTCTACCTTCATTTTTTTTCTTCTTTTTCCAGTAGAGGGGAAAGGTTTGCACAGTCAATTCGATCCAAATTTATAGAAGTGCTAATCGTAAAATTCTGAAAATCCCTGAGCAGTACTCTGCCCCGCTCCCCAAAATTCTAATCATCTAAACGTAGGAATGAGCTCTTGTCATCATTTTGAAAAGATCTCCAAATAACCACAACTGCCACCCTTTTACTGACCAAGTGTACTAGTGATTTCAGCGAGAACTAATTAATATAAGCTGATTAAACACACCAGTGAGACCAGTAACAATCAGATATATTTACAAATATCAATGAATGTGCCATCTTGCATACCAGTCATCGTTACAAAAAAGATAGGTTAACTGTGCACAAAAAGAACCCACCCCTGCTACATAAACAAAACTCAGTTGGCTAACTCAAATTTCTGACACACCAACGCAACAAGGAACACGGGGCACATTTAGACCATTCTATGATGCGTCGAACATCTAAAACTCAGCATAAAAAACAATGCTCTAAAAAGTTTACAGCAACTACCATTGCAATAAACATCATCTGAGTATAATATGAAAAAAAGCAAAATGATTATACTCATACTCCAAAATATTAGGACTGAAATTAAATAATACCCAATGAAATTCCATAAGAAACCTTTGACCTCACCACAAAAAAGACAGGTTCAAATCCATCATCCATAGCTTAGCGAACAAAGCCACATTAGAGTGCCACACTAGAAAGTGCAAAATTTGATGTAATCCCATACAGAATGGTATTAAATAAGATTCTCCAACAACAAAATGCTACATCTTAACGATAGAAAAACAGTAAATCCTTCCATTCCAAATATGTCATTCTTTTGTCCAACAATACCACCCACAATGTTCAAAAGATATATAAAATCTGTTTAGATACAAGCTTAGAAATTTTTTTGAAAGCCTCTCTACTGAAAATAAAAAGATTTGACTAATAGAGAAGTTTTCAAAACCTCTTATAAGCCTGTATTCAAACAGGCTCATAGTCTCCTTCAACATAAATACCATTTTCAAAACCTAGACAGTTGATATGGAAAGTGTTCTATTTCATATTATTATGATCATCCTATATTACTGTTACGACTAAACTATCCTATCCACTATCTAGGCTCTGCCTGTCTGCCACCTCTCAAAACATAAGAAGAACATCCACAGCAGAGGCGCAAAAAACATTACCGAGGCTACAATCCAAATGAAACACAATTCATTTACATTTACTACAGACCTCGGCAATGTGCATTTCCACATATTCCTGAGGTGAAATTTCAACTCCAATTAGATAACAGCACCAACAGTACCTATGTTAGTATGTCACTGTACCTAAGCTTTGTCTAAAAAAATAAAACAAATGCACCAATTTAATATTTCAGCACAAAAATAACTTTTCTTCATTGACCCTAATTTATATCCATCAGATATCTAACCAACAGTAATTTTGAAACATCATTACGAAAAGAAACAAAAAAACTGAAACTAATAAATTAATCACCTATAGTAACATCTGAATTACCATCCAAGAGCATTATAAGCAAAACCCAGGGATCAGTAAAAGGAAAATTAACAGGACAAAAACTCATTGACACAAGCGTGATAAGTGATAACCTCTGTTAGCTAGCCCCTAGCACCAGCTCCCTCCCTCTCCAACTTCTGCGAGAAGAACTTGGTGGCGAACATGTTGTCCTCAAAATACTCCTTATAAGGATGATCCTTGGGAACAAGCCTGCGAAACTTGTCAAACTGCTTCTCCGCCTCGTCTTTCTTCCTCAGGAGCGTGTATATGATACCCTGACAAAGGTAAGGCCTAAAATCCCTCGGCTCTTCCTTCACCAAATCCTGATAGGCCTTAAGCGCCTCAGAAAAATTCCCTTCCATCACCTTAATCTGCGCAATCAATAGCTTGAAGTCCCTCACGTCGGAATCCCTGTTCTGGTTCTTGCACGCCTCAAGCGCCTCCTCCACTCTTCTCAGCAACGCTCTGAGAGGCTCGTTGGACTCCGAAGTCGCCATCACGAGGCCGTGGAAGGCCTCCACGCGGAGCGGATCTCGCTTGAGGATTTCCTCGAACAGGTTCCGCGCCTGAGCGTGTTCATCGTTGTAGATGTGCATGTTCGCCTTCAGCAGCGGCCACTCGTACTCCTCCGGTTCAACTTCAATCAAACGGTCCAGAACCGCCATCGCTTCCTCGATCTTGCGGGCTCTGATTTTGCACTCCATGAGCGCGTGGAGCGCGTCGGTGTCGTCGGGATGGGTGGTGAGGCGCTCTTCAAGAGCTCTCTCCGCTTCCTGGTCGACCTCCGCCGCGGACTCGGCCGGCGGCGGCGGCGAGAGCGGGGCGGCGAAGACGGGCGCGTGGAAGCGCATGAAGAAGAAGGCGGTGGCGGCGACGACGATGCAGGAGGTTTCGACGAGGGGGGAGAATAATGAGGTTAGGGTTTGGATAAGAGGAGACGAGGGTTTAGGGTTTGGTGGAGTGCGAAACGCGTGGTCGTTTTGTGAGGCTCTGATTGAAGGTAACCTAAACGACGAAGGTGGCGGAACGGAACGGAACGAAATTGAAGAGGATAAGGGTGTGGGGAATGAAGAAGCACGGTGGTTAGGCGAAAGGGTAAAGTGACGCAATTTTGGAAGAGTGTCCATGAGTGAGAGAGGGACTGTAACACGGGAAAGAGAACCTAAAACCCTCACTTGAAATGATTACGCAGGGAAAGGGTATTTCAGGGAACCAACAAAATAAAAACTACCCACGCCTTTTTTTTTTTTTTATTTTATTCAATTTCTTTCTCTCGTGGATTTAATTAAGTTTTATTTTTTTATTACCAAAAAAAATATGAGATTCACAAACCCAACGCTCCATTACAATAGCCAGCCCAATTCACCTTGACCCAACTGTGCAAGTCCAGCCAACAACTTTAACATTCGGCTGCCACTCAACCAAAATTGGGTCGACGTACTTGAACCCAAACCCGTTCTGATTTTGGAAGATATGATTAGGTTCATGATATTTACATCACTATTTATTTATAAGTATACCTTTTTTTTAAAAAAAAATTTAAAATATCTATTTTTTACCTTCAACTTTCGATTTAAGACTTTTTTTTCTTTTTTATATACTTTTTTCTTGAAATAGATGAAGAATGAGAGAAAATAAGATAATACATGTAAAAATTGAAGAAAAAAAAATGAAATCGATGAAAAAGGAAAAATATGTTAAAGTTAATGTTCAAGATGTAAATAAAAATGCTTTATAAATTTTATTTTGAAAAAAAAAAAATAAGCGTATCATTAATATATATATATATAATGAACCATATATATAACTAGGAAAATGATAAAATGTTGGAAATCACATTCCGAAATGCATTCCAAATAATTAAATAATAACAAATTATAAAATATTAAATTAAATAATTATTTTATAATAAATTTATTAAAAAAATATTAGTATTTTAATATTCAGAGGATCGTTGGGAGGAAACTTTGGGACGGTGTATCCTCACTCATATAACTTTTACATCAAGAAAGCTATCATTCATGCATTGTCTAAGCACATAAAATCTCAATTCCACGTCATTTCAATCACCTATCATGATGTCCAAAGAACACGCACTATCATATCATGCAAGGAAGAACTGCATCCCCTACACAAGAGACATTTCAAGACAAATGTTTTTATCGTCCTACAATTTATTTGTTTCAGATAGTAGACTCTTTTCTAAGGCTAATTTGTAAACTCCCTGATTTTTTCTTTCATTCTTTCCTTTCTAGTTTTTAGTTTGGGTCCAACACAATTTTAGACAAACACGTGTTTTAGGTTTTTTGTTAGAATACAATAAGGTGTCTCTTTCTTTGGCATAAAACACTAATGAACTTTTTTCATTTTTTACTACTTTTTTTTTATACAATATAAAACTTGTTTAGATAATTTTTTCTGTTAACACTTATAAAAAAATATATAAAGATAAAATAAATTTTGTTTTTTCATCAACTGAAATTAATTTATGTTTAAGTTGAAAAAAATTAATTTCAAAAGTTTATCCATTAGCTTATAAAAAAAGTTAATTCCATTTTTTTCTTATTTTTTTCTTTTATAAGTAATCTTAGAAAAAATTATCTAAGCATCCTATAACTAATTTTCCATTAGTTTATCTTATATAGCCGAAACAATCATTAAAGTAGTTCTTCAGTTTTCTCATAAACGTTGATAACCATATTATCTTGGACATTTTTTTTTATCCACAAATTTTGGAAATATTTTTGTTAGCATAATTTTAATGTTAAATTTTAAGAGCATTTTTTTATCTACTTTTCAAATGGATTTGATTCCATACAAAGACGCCTAAAAGACTTGAAAATTCGAAATTAATTGTTATTGACTTACATATAATTAATTTTTTAAAAAATAATAATAAATCCTCCATTATAAAGCAACATATAAATTAGTTTTTTATAATTTATAATTTAGAGTTTAGTACACTTAAAAGTCATATTCTCATAAACCATAAGTTTACAAATAAAAATAAAATTATTATTATGCATTATCGGTAAGGTCATCTCAAACTTATTATGATGTGAGACATAATAGAAAATTTATATAGACGCTTATTGAAAATTCAAAAGATTTTTTAATCTAATAATTTATTTTGTTCGAATAGTTTCAAATGAAATTTAATATTGTTAGGATAATTCAGAAGGAAACTCTTATATTTTTAGAATGAGTTTATGGTAATATTTGTAAACTAATACATTTATAATGTGGACAATTAAGATATTTTATAATTTTAATTGATGCATTGACTAGATGGTCACGTGTTTATTTGTTTTCAATTTGCAACCTAACATTTGAAAGATTGATATCTTAATTAATCTGATTAAGAGTTCATTTTGATAATGTTGGCGAGTTTATCTCTTATTTTTAATGAATATTGTATTTTTATTGAATTTTATATTGAATATCATGTAATACATGTTCATACATAAAATATACTTGCAAAATTATTTATTAAACATCTAAATGAATTGCAAGACTATTAATCATAAGAACAAAAACTTTCAATGTCTACTTGAGGACATCCAAACTTACATTTTAAAGTAATAGTTTTGTATCAAACCAATGAATTATCATAAGTTATCCCTTTGTAATTGATTTTTGGTAGTCAACCTTACATTCCTTATTAAAGAAAATTTGCATATGTTGAATTATTATTCTACATCACACCAAAATGAATCATCAAATAAGGTTAAGAAAATATGTCGAGTATGAATTTGCATATATATTAAAAATATGTTGAATTATCAACAGGAGACCTTTTCATGACTCAATTTGTTAATTTTAATTTTAAATAGGTTTTCCCAACAATAGTGGGAGAAAATAAGTAGTTGGAATGAATTATAATAGTAATCGTTAAACTAAATAAGATGAGCTAGAAGTTCAAAAGATAATTCATTTACAAAAGTTTAACCAAAAGAATGGTTAAATTATATATATCAATTGTTAATGTTCCAACAAAATTGATGTTCTATTAAACAATATTGTAAAAATTTTCAAATATACATGAAACGTGATCAACTTATTGGTTTTAGAGATAAAAAAATTATTGATTTTGAAAAGGAGCTAAAAAAACCAAGATGGTCAAATAAAGGATATAGAAGTCCAAAAGATTTTTCTAACATAAATAATAAGTTCCAAAACAACTTAAGCGTCTGAAATTTGTAAAAATAAAGAGATATCTTACAAATTAAGGATTTTCGTAAAAGATTTTACCTTGATTTTAAATAGACATCCTCCCTTGTAATGAATGTAAGTATTTTCATGGTTCACTTGATAGTTGAGTTTATGTGAAACTCCTTAAAGGATTTAATATATTCAAAAATTGGTACAAGTTCTTAAGAAAGATTATTCAATCAAATTGAGTGAGTCACATTGTGGAATAAAATAATATGGGTGATGTGGTATAATCATCTTAATGAATACATGTTAAGAGAATAATATAATAAATTATATGATTTTGTTCATTTGTTTTTATGAAAAGATATAAAATTGAGTTTATCATGATTAATTCTATTTGCATAGATGACATAAATGTTTTGGTACTCCAAAAAAGATTCAAAAAGGTATAGATTTCATAAAGATGATATTGAGACTAATGATGTAGAATGAACAAAGTTTTGTTTATTATTACAATTTGAATATCTAAACTATGGAGTTTTTTTTTTGTATCAATAAGTTTATATAACAAAAGTGCTTTAAAAGATTTATATACACAAATCACATTTATTGTGCATTCCAGTGATTATAAGGTCTTTAGATGTGGACAAAGATCATTTTAGATATCAATAAAATGATAAATTGGTACTTGGTCTTGAGGTAACATATTTTAGCATTATGTAGGCACTAATGTATTTTACTAATTATAAATTACTTGATATATAATTTGTTATCATTTTACTTGTAAGATATAATTATCCACTTACATGATATTGTTGGAACAAAATCAATTATGTTTTTCATTATCTTAGAATTTTTTTTGGTCAAATCCCTATAGGTATGTTGCAAACAATGAGTTTGTTTATATGTGGTGGTATGGTTTAGAGTTTAGGAGAATGCATTAAAGGAGATGAAAGAAATTATACTTTCTCCTGAGTTATTTTTAACTTATAATCATTAAATGAGTGATGTTATAGTTATTCAACAAGTTTGTTCATGTGAGAATCCGGAAGGTCTTTTTTCAAAGCCACTACCAAGTACAATTTTTGAGAACTTGGTACACAAGATTGGTGTTGCGTCTAAGGAAAGCATACCTTATCGCAATAGTAATAATAAACAAGGTGTAGATATCGAACATAAAGAATTAGGTTCAAATAATTACCAACTTAACCGTGACTTTAAGTAATTTAAATAAACAGAGATTGCTTGAAAGTATTAATTTATAAATTGCAAACAAGACTAAGAAATTGTTACTAAAATTCATAGATTAAAGCCCTATAATTGTGATTTATTGTTCCCAACCTCCCCAAAGATAAAACTCATGAATTAATGAGTCATGTCGCTAATTATATTTTTAAAATTGTTAACAACCATATGGTTTTAGGAAGCTAATAGTTTTTATCTTAAGAAAAATTCAAATTAATCACAAGAATTTTATTCTAAAAATAAAACATATGCGCACATAAGCGAATTAAAAGTTTATCTCAATTGGAAATTACAAAAACAATTTGATCATGCCAATTTCGCAATAATTCAATTATTTTAAGATTTCATTAATTAAAAGAGTTTAATCGTGCAATTTTTAATTAACTAAAATAAGAATTGAAAATATAAAAATAATATGATAATTTAATAAGAAGAAATTTATGAATTAATTATCAGGAGTTCACATGGAACAATTACATCACAACTCTAAAATAAGAAAACTAGCCACACATACTACTATAACTCGTTAAATAAAGGAAAATAATTAATTGTAATTGAAAGAACTCTTCTCCAATGGTTTGACCTCCAGTCTCTTACTAAATCTCAATAACGAATACAAAAGGAAAGAAAATATAAAAAAAATAAAGTTAAAACTGAGAAAAAAAATATGAATAGAAATTGGATAATTACAATGTTTTTAGACATCCTTATTTATAGCCAATGAAATTCAGGAAAAACTCATGAGCACAATTATGCACATGAGAAGCACGATCATTCTCATGGGAAGCACGACCATGCACATGACAAGCACAATTGTGCTTATGGCATGCTTTGTAATCATGGATGTGCTTGTTGGATGATCAGGGTGTACTCAATTGGTTTAGCATGGCTACAAGAAATGTTACATATAGTGATATACAAAAAGTGTCACTATAGGTACAATATATATAGGTATATGTCTATTTGACATATAGTTACACACAATTTTAGTGTTTGATTTTGAATGTGATTTAACAACATATTTTGTGTGTCAATGTAGTCTATATCCACACTTTTTAATAATATACTAACATATATTGTAGTTATTGTGTAGGTAAAAGTAAATTTTAGTGACATATATAGTATCATTATAGGGTGTGTGTCACTATATAACAATTTTGTTGTAGTATGGTCATGCATATGAGTAAGCACGATCATGCTTCACTATATGGTATAAGAGGCATCAACATGCTTTAACAAAAGGAAGGTGTGCTTTATGGACAAGCACGATTGTGCATATGAGTAAGGACGTGTTTCTTAACAAGAGTTGGTCATCCACAGTGTTGTGATCTAATTCTACATAATTATGCATATTTCACCTAAATTTAAACTTTTTTTCCTTTTTCTGTACACTTAAATAAAAAAAGTGATGTGTTGCTAAAGAATTATCATTAAAATATGACAAAACAACAATGAATTAAATGTTATTATGTAACAATTTGAGAGTTTAACAATTGGTCTTCTTTGTCTTAGAGGTGATGTTCGCATAAGGAGAAGACGTGTTGCACTTTTTTTTTTCTTCTTCATCATGATTTTGTTCCACTAGGTGTTTTAGACAGATTTTTAATAAGGTAATATATGATATTGTATTAAAGAATGATATATTATTTTTTTCACTGAATTTTTCTTAATAAAGTTTTAATAAAATATATTATTAAACAATAGACATCTAAGGATGAGTGTTATGGGTATTTAATGATAACTATCTATTATTATTATCTATTATTATTATTATTATTTATATTTCAACTTAATATTATTACCTTATTTGTAATCATTTATGTTTATAAATAAATTATCTGAAAATAATAAAAGAAAATTCTCATTTTTTTATACCTTCTTTTTTTTCTGTTACTTTATATTATAGTTTATGTTTATATGTTGATTTTCATAACAATTATTGAGTGCTTAAAATTAATGATTAGGGTTATTATTCACAATTTTTCAAAAGAAAATACACCAAATGGTGTGTTGTTAGAATCGTTAATAATAAATTTATTTTCTTATATAATTGGCAATATAGATATCGTTGAACGATGTGATAATACATACAAGATCGAACGGGACATAAATAGGATAACTCATTGCTATCATAAAATCGTTGTTGTTTTCCATGTTAGATGGATTAACTTGAATTGTTATCAGAATCACAAAGCCATGTTATATATGTATTGTGGCCGCTTCTTAGTTTTGAGATCATAAGAGTGTTGTTATTCATGGCAGTTTGTGTCTATTACTTTATATACGAGAATAATTGTCTAAGATTGCTTCACAACATTAGTAATGGCTATATCTCAATCACCCTTTTTCAGATATGCCGATAACCCAATCTTTATATAAAGTACGTGCTAGATATGTAGATTAAAATGGTTATATTTGTATAAACTCTATCTTCACAACATTAGTAATGGTTATATTTTTAATATTCCCTATAATTCAAACCACTTATAATTAAGAAATTTACAAAAATAAATATTTCAAGTAAATTAAAATATGTTAGACATGTAGAATGATACATGAAATAATAATTTAATATTATTATGTAATATAAAAAACCATATTTCATGAATTATAAACAAATTTTTAATGTTTTTAAATTAAATTACAAAAACATAAAAAGATAAAGAATTTAGTTACAATTTTTAATTTTAAAACTTTAATTAAAAATTCAAAAAAAAATTATATATAAATTAGACAATATATTAAATCTTTAATTGAAAAAGACATGTTTTTATTATTGAACAAATGACAAAGTAAACAAATCTTAAAAAAAATATATTATATTTTTCTTTCATATAACTTATATACAAGATATATAAATAATGATGAAGTTGAACGGTTACGCATGCAAACAAGGCTAAGAGCCAGTGAATAGGTTATAGGTTTCTATTGTAGAGATTATGGAAGAGCGAAGGCAAAGTAGATTTTTTCCATTCCAAAGCAAGAGCACAAGTTAAATGAGAAAAAGATGAAGAAATGAATGTAGGCAAATCCCGATCTCGACTGATTCGTTGGTTATAAAGGAGTGCGACGGCGACTGGGATTACGATTCCAATCACAGACAAAGTATTTCAGAAGACCCCACCAAATAGCAATGGTCCATGCACTGCATATGTACCTGTGTTATTGTTTTACCCAGACACACGATACAGACAATTAAACCCTTGCACACAATTTCATCCAGGGGACAAATGTGCCGGACAAAGACATACATAACATCATTACGGTGATTAAAGATTGAAATAAGTTTAAGATTTAGAAAGTCTTAAATTTTTATATAATTATTATTATTTTTATTATAAATTTATAAGTTTATAACATGTACACGAGTGTACATCAACATACATGATTACACATGAACTGTTCTTTTAATAGGAAATGATTCAACTTTTTTTCTATATTTTTTAAAATTTTAAATTTTAATAATGTTGAGTAAACTATATTTTAAAAATAATTGTATTAATTTTAAAAATTAAATTTATTGACCTAATTAATACTAATAACTTAAATATATTTTTAAATAGGTTAATAGGTCATGTTATACTTTAAAAATGTCATATCAGACCAATAGAAAAAAATTATGATAGATAATAGATCAGACTTAGATTTTAATTTTGTTAAACTGACACAATCTATATATATTTAAAGTTTGATCTAGTCTAACTTATTTTTATCTCTAATGATCATGCTTCGGTTCACAACAAAATAACAATAATAAGGAAAATATATAAACAAATAAAAAGGTAAATAATGTGTTCACATAAATAAATGAAAAAGAATAATGTATTCCCATTCACAATATATGTAACTATGTTTTAGGGTGTATTTAGAGTGTGTTTGATGCATTTTTTTTTTACTTTCTGAAAATTTCACTTAAAAGAAAGTTAATCTTTTGCATTTGATTTGTTATTTAAAAAATAACATTTTTGAAAAATATTATTATTTGAGACTGATTTTTGTATAAATTTTTCACGAAATTATTTTTATGAAAAATGTGAGAAACTAACTCTTAAAAATATTTTAATGCAATATAAATGTTATGTTACTTTTATTTGTTTGTTTAATTTAGTAAAAATTTTGATTCCCAAAAATATTTATAACTCACTAAATATATTTTTATGATTTCTAAAATTTGTAATTTTCATAAATAAATAAAAATTGACCATGTAACAAACATCTCTTTAATTAAAAAAATATGTAAAATACTTTTTTTTTAATTTTTATCATAATTATCTCAAAAGTCACAATATTATCACGATATTTAATTGTTTGACTATATAAATGCAACTTTTAATTGAATTTTTTTTTTTCTTGCTGCCGGTATTTTTAAAGTACTAGGTCAAAAAACAATCCTTTTTGAAATGTTGTGATTGATTCTGTCCCGAAAGGTTTTCATATATTATGAGAATAAAAACGAAATTTTCTACTAAGATCATAAAAAAATGTATGTTTTAAAAGAATATTAAGTGAAAATAGTATTGGATCTCCAGTAAATTCATATAATCATGTGTTTTGACAGCTTGATCTAACATGGTAGCACTTGTCAATAATAATATAAAACTTCAGCATAACATTTATTTCATTCATAATATGATAAAGGATACAAGTAGGGATATTGTATGAAAATCATGTAGGTTAGCATAGACGTCTACAAAGCTTTAGTGTGTTTGATTTTACGTCATAACACTTAATTTGCATTAAAAAAAAACGTGAAAATAAGAAGTTATTATTTCTTATTTCTCCATCAAATTTATAAAAACGTGAATTAATGACACGAGTCCAAACAATAACTTAGTCCATAAATGAGTTAGTGAGTTAGTTTACCTCGAGATAAAATTGACATCACAGTTTAGTAAACTATGTAACAAAGAGCTGAATTCAGAAACCTCAAGTGATGCATTTCTAATACCTAGAGTCACTCTTTCACAATCTGTTTCAAACAAAACAGCCTCAAGTCCTTGATCTTGAACCCATGTCTCTAATTATTTAAATGAAACTTTAATATTATTTACTAGGGAGTAAAAAAAAAACTAATAAAATATATATTATGACTAAGTTTTATGATTATAACAATATTTTCATTTTATGAATAGGAATCAAACTCGTGAATAAGAGATTACAATAACTGAGATACATATATTGTTGAATTAATTAAGTTAGATGCGTTATGATCAATAATACTTTTAGTCATTGGTATAGTTTATTAAATAATTTCGAATCACAGTCATATAGTTTGAATAAAAAAGTTCTCTTGTAGTTTTTGACCAAATAATTATTTTTGAAATATAAAAGCAAAATCAAATAATTAAGCACATTGTAAATCTGTGTTAATTTGTTTCAGTGTCGCTTGCTTCCAATTCGTTCCCATCAATCATTATTAATTAACATCATTTTCCGCGTTTACAGTTAAACTACCCCATGATCGTAAATTACATATATTCTCCTTTACAAATTAAATCACATTAATTTAATTTTTTCTCACATTACTACACGTCAGTGTCCTCCCACATCACAAACCAACAATTTATTATCTTCATTTAAACATGACAAAAGTTTGCATATATAAAAGAATTATAATATTATATGAAATTAGTTGTAGTTTTGTCGTTTGAACAATGATGGTTGAGATAAGATCATAAGAATACTCGTACTGAAACTAAGTTAATTGAAGAAAATAGCAATAAAAAAAAAAATATATCCAAATGATAGAATATTTAACTAATAATGATTTTCATGTACATCGAATCTAGAAGCTAACACACATTTTGTTAAAAAAAATTATTTAACACGACACCTGTATGCCATGTCACACTCTTGCAATCACTGTAGAGTGCTGACTTGAACTTCTACATCTTGGGACAAATCAAATAAAGCCATTTATGCCGCCCTCACATATGATGATACGATGATGTTGTCCCTTGGTCCAGTATTGTTTGGTCCCGTTACTATTACCCTTCGATTGGGATATTATTACATAAACAACCACCTTCTTCCACCTCCGTTAATTACCAATATGATTTCATCGTTAATTAATTAACCTTGATATATTAATCGCGTCTGAAATCTAAACTCGTTCTTTGGAAGAATCTGAAACCATGTTCTGTATCCTTTGTCTTGTCTCTCTCTCACAACCTCTCTCTGCTCTGCTCCTCGAGTATGCCTCGAAAAACTCCTTGTTCTCCTTTTCTAACTCATTCCAAACTGCTCCCATCACATGCATGCACGTGTGTCATTCACATATCCAAAAAACGTAAATTAAAGTAAAAAAAGAAGAGTAAATAATGACAAAATGTAAACGATCAAGTATATGAATATATGTGTACAAGATTTCTAATGTTTTGGCATTCCTACCCATATGTACACTAATATCAATACGTTAATAATTAATTATAGTATACATACGGCTCGCGTGATAGTGGAAGGTTGTTGTCTCCATACTATAAATTATAATAAGGTGATTAATTTGGAGCGAGAATAAAGTGGACACAATTACATTAAAGGAAATTTAATTTATTAATTCAAGGAGTGGCTCTTTTTTTTATAAAAAAAAAAAAAAGAAAAGAAAAGAAAATATGTTCAAAAGGAGAGTGATATATGTGGAGTGACTTTACCGGTGGAGGTGATAACCGGTTTGATATTTGCATGTTTGGAAAGAGCTTCCATGCACTCTTCTTTGCTCATGTTGAATAGGATACACTCTTCTATGAGACGATGCACCTACACATATATGCAAATACCCTTCATCAGAATTTAATATGTGCTAGCAAAAGAAACAAAAGAAAGTGGTGGAAATATTGAAAACTACAAGATATGTTTTTGCCAGAAACAATAATATTTTGACAAGTAAATAAATGAGAGAGAGGGTTTTAACTTTTAGTTAAAGGTCAAGCAAATCAAAACTCACCAGACGGATATAAGCAGCAGAGGAAGAGTCTTCCATGGACCTTGATGATTATTTTGAGTGAGATATTGTGAGATTCAAGATTTGTATTGGGTAGGGAGAGGATGAGAGGGGGGGGGGGGGGGGGGGGGGGGGGGTGGGTTCTCCTATATGATCTGATGAATTAGCATAAAGTTATGTGATATATATAGTCGAAAGGAACATAATTAGAAGAGAGGGAAGAAGCGAGAAGCTTGAATAGGAAGAAGGAGGAGAAAGGCCAGAAGGATGGAAGAAAAAGAGAGTAAGGACAAGAAAAGATGAGAAAAAAGAGAAAAGCAAAGGATGAAAGAAAAAATAAAATAGTTAGATTTATAAGGAAGGTGGATCAACATTGGGATAGATCGATGGAGGGCAATGTTAAAAAAATAATAAGCAGGAGATAATGGTGAAATGGGGTGTATAAAAAAAAGGTTAATAGACAAAGAAGGCACATGAAGAAATGAATAGAGTGAGAGGCAGCTTTGGTGGGACCCACAGGCCCACGTGGGAGGAAAACGGGGATTGGTGGAGAGGGGATTAGAGGAGATTCTAGGAGAAGTGCACCAAACGGCGTTGTTTGGTTATTACGTGGCAATGGGACCATTGTTCACGTGATATGTGGGACCATGGATCCTTCTGTCTGTCCGAAGTGGCACTAGTTGGCAGCTCAATGCATCTACCATGCTCAACTTGTACCTCTTTTCATAAAATATTGCTTCTTTCATTAATATAATAATGCAACTTTGGACGCAGAATAATTAATCTTTAAAGGGTATGGTAGAATATTGGGCAGAAGAATATTTATTTTATAGGGAGTTGCTACGGTACCTATGGATGGCAAAGTGCGCCGTGCCCTGCGGGCTGGCCCGTTGGCCCGCCAAAAATTGGCGGGTCAGGCCCATCATTTCAACTTGTCAACTTGCCATGCCTATCCCGCCAAGCCTGTCAACCTGCCGGGCCAAATAGCGGGTCAGTCCGTCATAACCCGCTGACCCGCACATATATATATATATATTAATTTAATTATTTTTATGTTTATTTTATTTTGATGTAGAAGATGATGATGAAGATGATCAAGAAAAAAAGTAGAGACATCTTCTTCTAAAAGAGCTTCTAATATTCTTAAAATAAAAATTTAAAGTTAATTAATTGTATTTAAACTTGTTTTGTGAACTATCAAAAAATTTAGTTTATAATAATTTGTAAGTTTATAATTTGGTTTTGATTTTGGTGTAAATGGACTAATTTCTATTTGATTTTGTTCTAAGTTTGTAATTTGTTTTTGTTGAACATATATTATGTACAATATGTATGCATTTTTAATTTCATATGGTTATATTTATTTATTTGTAGCAAATTTTTTTATTTGAACATAAAATATAT